TTCAAAATGTGTATCCAAACATAGATATAAGAGAGAAAAGGTAGGTTCGACGTCATCTTTTTCGATCCCTCTCTGCTATTACCTAAAGCAAACACGATTTGAGTTAATTTGCGGTTAAAATAGGAAAAAATAAAATATGCAAGATTGAGAGTACCCAATATATTTTAAATATATTTAACATGATTGAAAACAAAACAATCAAAACTTATTATCATCTCTGGCAAACTATAGAAATTTTTTTATTTCTTACTATGTTTTCTTTTTAACTATATTCTATTAAAATCGTACATATTGTCACTTGTGATTAAACCATAGTGAGAATGACTCAAGATCTTCATTGTCACTTGTGATTAAACCAAAGTGAGTACCAATAAAAGAATAGCCACAGCATAGTTGATGCATAAGACCAAGTCAGAAGAACTATCGAATTACACAAATGATTGAAGTCCACTAGAGGTGAGGTGAGACACTGCAAGTTAGTTCAAATTGGAAAAAACTATGCTGCCTACAAGATTCAATTTGGTGTATGGGCTATCTTTGTTTGAATCGGAGAATGACTGTATATATTAGACGGTAGATGTATATTCGAATACCTATATAAATTCATGCAAACATGGAGGCGAAGATTGACTGAAACATATCATCGCTCCACTAAACTCGTTATATATATAAAATGAAATTGTTCCTTATCTGGATGTATTTTTTCGGTCTTCCTTATCCTTTATTAACTTATTTATTTGTTTTTGGTTTTGATCATATCATTTGATACAATCATACAACTTGTATTTAATTGTTATGGATTTTTTATAAAAAAATTAAAATTACAAAAAAAAATTATTATGGGTGGGGGTGAAGGCAGAAATGGATGGTGGGGTAGGAATTATAAATTACCTATGGGCCGGGATGGAGATTAAAACTTGTCCCATTAGTGGAGTGGACCAGGATGGACGGACTTAAAAAGTGGGTACGAGAGTAGACACCTTCCGTAAGTCTGGGCTTGTACTTTTTAAGGAATAAAGTTCAACTCAGCTAATCTTTTTAGTAAAAATTAGGGTTGACTCATCCTAAAGGGACTTATAATAATTAATCCATCAAAAAAATTTATTTGGCGATAAGTCCGGTTTTAATCTTACTAATGTGTAGTTAAATCCACTATTTTTTAAAACTCAAAAATACCCTTATCTCTAATTTTGACTCAAATTCAAATTTAAGTAAAAAAAACTTAAAAAATTTACTCTAACCTTGACTCAAACTTATACCAAATTAAAGGAGATTCATTTTATTACTCAAATTAAGGAAGACTCAAATGCTTATCCAAATCTTTAATGGTGCGCTTTCAACCTCTTTTAAATATCCAATGATTATTTTTATTCTCTTTTAAATTTGGGTTTGCCCTCATTTAAATTTGAGTTTCTCCTTCTTTAAATTTGAATATTCCATGTTACTTTTCCATCTCATTTGCAAACCTACAAACCCCAAACCCAATTCGCCCTCCCCGCCCTCAATTTTTCACCCCCCCAACCCTGACCCTTTGTTTTCTCCCACCACAATCCCCCTCTCTAGATTTTTATGTTTTGATGGCATGTATGTTAAGGTTGTGATTGAATGTATGTTAACCCTCTAAGTTTTTCCCTTTAAATATTTTGGTGGTTGTTTGCAAGCTTGGAAGGGATTCAAAAGGATTTCTAGGCTTTTTCAAGTGGCTCCGCTTTGGCTTGAGGTTTTATTTGCATAGTTTACTATGTTTTCATGCATATTACATTATTTATGTGCATTACTTCATGAGCTAGGGGGAGCGGTGCTATATTTATTGTGGTTTTCCTGGATTAAATCACCATACATATTTAATTTAGTGAGTAGAGAACACTAATTTTGGACCACGATCTGACAGTGGTCCAATAACTGCAAGAGTGTGTTTCCTCATAAAACTTGCAAATTTCCCTATTACATGCTAATGTTGTGATTGTCGGTGGTTCAACTATTGAAATAATAGAAACGAGAGGCATTTAATGATATGTGTTAGGGTTATTAGGGTTTTGATCGAATGTATGTAAATGTTTGTAGGGTTTTGTTTCAATTTATGTTAAGGCTATTAAGATTGAGATTGTGTGTTAAGTGTGTTACTTTCAAACATAATAATTCTTGGGGCAAGGTGTAATATTAGATAGATGGTCCTCATACATGGGGCATACTCTATGTTTAGGGTGTACTTAGAGTATTTAGGATTTCTTGCAATAGGATTTTGAGAGTTTTTGATTGAAACTCTCAAAATAGGATGAGTGGGGTTCATTGGCTTGGAGGCTTGGATGTTTACCTTCTGTTTGGTGGTTCTTCTTTCAGATGGACTGCTCTAGAAGACACAAAAGGCCTATAAGAGACCGATTACATGACGGTAATGGTAAGAACTAAGCTACTGGATAAATTCTCATATTCAATTCAAGCTGTCTGATTTTTTATTTTCTGTCTGAGTTACACAGCCATAGCAATTACATATTCTATCAATTGGTATATGTATGATTATGACTGTGTATATATCAATTGGATTGTTGCTTTAGGTCATTTGAATTACAATACACTACTTATATTTGAGAACGAACTTGAAACTACTATGAAATCAACTTCGTTAGACACAACAATTTTCGAAGAATAAAAGTAAATTAGTTCAATCCACGGCTTGGTAAGATGTTATGTACGTTGTCATGTGTGGAAATTGCATAGTTTACTAATGTTTACTACTTGAAAGGTCGAGGCCGAGGCTCATGTTGGTTGAACCATATTGCTACTTTTGGTCAAATGGTGATATGAAACACAATTTTTTGACATGGATAAATTTATGTGCAACGTGTATGTACACCAACTAGTTGTTACAAGCGTACATATTATGATAACTCATCTCCTCTTCTCATTCTCATTCTCGTGCCAATACAAACCTTTTACTTACGTTTATCTACCAGAGAAAATTATCAAATTCTTATGATTGATAGTGGAAACCACTTTGTCAGGTGAACCTAAACCAATAAATACTTCAAACCATTATTGCAATTCACAACCCATGAGATCCAAGCAACATTCATACATCATATTTATACAAATAAAAAAAAAAAAAGCTATTTGTATGATAAAATAAGAAAGTGACTAATTTAGAAATTCTCTCTTTCAAGAATGTTTACATTCCAAAAATCCACATGACTTATCTTGAAAATGAACTAAAACAACAATTAGTCCACACCCTGTACATCTATATTAATAAAACAGAGTCTCTTACTTGAGGTGCTTAAGTTCCTCAATTAGAAAAATACAACAACGGCTTAGAAATTCTATATATTATTGTTTTCGTCCAATAGGGGAAAAGGTATTAAGCTTATATTTTAAGCATTGATATAATTAACATCACATTTTTCCTCTACCAGGCCAAAGCAATTTTCTTTTAAATCTATAAAAGGACAATATGAATAATAGCCATGTCATTGACATTTTCATATTTCATTACCTAATCTATATTTATATCTATACAATTTACAAATATCAGCATCTGCGAAAAAATTTTTATTTCTTATTTTATCCCTAATTATTATGATAAAGTCGTCTATACACAGTTATGTAGTTTCATCTAATTTTTTTTTTTTACACCTATTTGACTTTTAACTTGTTTTGAATTTTTTTATAAGGATTTCTAAATTCTTTTGAACTGATTTATTAGTAGTATAATCATATACAACTATCTATATCTATATGAAGAAGTAAAGTTTAAATTATTATACACATGTTATCTCTAATTATTATGATAAAGTTAATTATACCCACCTATGTACTTTCATTTAATTTTTATTTTTTACTCCTATTTGACTTTGAAGTTGTTTTGAACTCTTTTATAAGGATTTATAAATTCTTTTAACTCATTTATTATTAGTTTAATTACATACAATAATCTATATCTATATGAAGAATAAAATTATATATATGCTAAATTATTATACACATGTAATTATCAAGTTTTTTTTGATCAGTATCACGTTGAATTCCACAGTCAAATATATATTATATACATGTTATCTTTTTTGAATTTCACGGAAAAATAATATAATAATATTATAAGCGATCTAATCAATCTATTTAATAAAATAAATTTTAATAATTTTATAATCTATACTATTTATAAATATCAGCATCGGCTAATTTTTTTTAATTTTTTATTTTATTCCTAATTATTATAATAAATTCAATTTTTGGTTTTTATAAATTCAATAAATATCAACATTTGCTAAATATACTTTTATCTATTGATTTTTACTCTTATTTGACTTTCAACTTATTTTGGATTTTTTTATAAAAACTTATAAATTCTTTTTAAACTCATTTATTAGTAGTACACTTACATACAATTTTCTATATCTATATGAATAAATGAAGTCCTATATATATATATATATATATAATTATTATATATATAGAGTTATTAAATTGAATTTTACGGTCAAATGTATGTTTATATTTTATTTTTTGTATGTAATAATATAATAATATTATAAGCGATCTATTTAACAAAATAAAAATTAATAATTTTATAATATAATTAAATGTGCAAATGCTTAAAGAAGTTGGAGCGATACTTAAATATTTGACAAATTAGGTGTTCAAAGATTTATAGAATAAATTAATAATTAAAGTACGAATTAATTATTTGACACTTAATTTATTATTTAATTTAATTATATATATAATTCGTATTTTCTATTAAATATAATAAGATTTACAAATGCCTAAAGGAGTTAAAAAAATAAGATAGATTAGTTACTCAAAAATTTATAAAAAATTTAGTAATATTAAAATACGAATTAATACATGGTATCTAATTTATTATTTAATTTAATTATAAATATAATCCAAATTTTTTATAAAAATAATATTATTTACGTACGCCTAAAGTTTACCGTTTATTAACGGCTCTTTGTTCATACAATGTTCCCAATATGATTAGGAGATTGGTTTCTACTTCAACTATGGCCTTCCGGAGTATTTCGCCGACGAAATCGATTAAGAAACCCGCAGTGCTCTATCACTACCCGTGCCCCGACGGTGCCTTGGCCGCCTTGGCTGCTCATCTCTACTTCTCGGCTTCCTCTACCGCCGCTCTCTTCTTCCCCAACACCGTCTATTCCCCCCTAAGGTGGGTCCCGAACACAACGAAACTTTGTGCTTTCAGATAGAGAGAGAGAGAGAGAGAGAGTACCCGTGTGTGTGGTTAGGGGATCGTAGATACACGGTAACTTGATTTTTGTTTTCTGGGTTTGTTTGTTTCAGGGTTGAAGAGCTTCCTCTGGACGAAATTGGTGATGTTTACCTCCTAGATTTCGTCGGTCCCCCTGGTTTTCTTCTCGAACTCTCTCCCAAAGTTGAACGGTACGCCTTTCTCACTTATTGCCCCACAAATTCAATTCTGTAGTGTGTGTCTGGAGGGGATATTGAATTAGGTACTCAACCAATTATCCCCACTAAATGAGGTTGTTTATAACTCAGCTAGTAACCCGTGCCTGGTACATCGTAAATCAACCAATTAATTTGGAGAAAAGAGGAGTGAAGATCCCTGAAAGTAATAGCGGAGCCAAAAATATGATCTGGATGGACACACTTTAAGCATAATGGATAAAATAATGTGATATATTTATATTTTTTATATCGGATTTGATATTTAAAAATTCATTAAACATAAAAAGGGTCTGTTTGAAAAAAATTAATAAGATAACATCTATACATCTAGGATTAATTATATAATTTATTTGACACAAATAAAAATAATATTCTATAATTTTTAATCTTCTTGCAAATTTTATATTTTACTCATTTTTAACTATATATTCCATAATTTTTGAACTAAAGGAGGCTTCACCAAATCATACTAATATTCCAAGGAATCAATTTTAGTTTGCTAATTTTAAGAGATTTGGTATGGATTTTTTGTTTTTTTGTTCTAGTATCCAACTTGTTTGACCTAATTAATTTTGTTTTTCATAAATCATTACAGTGGGATCAATTAATCCAAAAAAATATATAAAACAAATATAATTAAAAAAAATATTTTTTTTCAGGGTGGCCCAGGCCCTTCCTGCCTCTCCTCCCTCCGGTTTCCACTGTCAGAGAGAAAGAGTGAAGAGTGAGAAGAGGAAGATAAAATTTAATCTGCATGATTTTGAGAAAGATGTTGATAGCCGTTGGATGAGTTTATTTGAGACCGTTGAATAGATTTGTTGAAACCTCCATGTTTTATATTGTGGATTTTAGTCAATTAATACTATTCAAAGCAGTCAAATTACAATTTAAAAGTTTTATGTCATTCTCTCCGTTAAACTTCCACTCAATAATAAATCACCCGATGTTAAGTTAACCAGGATCCATTAGACCCTTACCTCATGCCCAGTAGGTGGTCTATATTGATTAAAATTAAGTAGAAGTTTAAAAGAGAGGATATGGATCCTTCATGATAGGATCTATGATGTGATTTTAGCTTAATCTCACCTTCTTCACTTATAATCTAATTCGATTGAGTCATAATTGTAGAAGGAAAATTGCTTTGTCATGGAACAGACGGGCTTTTGATGTGCCAATTGAGCCTTTCCACCCTAAGCTATCGAAGTGGAAAGAATGATTAAACCAACCTAGTGCAAAGAGTAGGGTGAGGAATTGAGTTGTCCCAAAAAGTAAGGTACTGTAGGCATTCAATGGGATATTTGCGTTCACATATGTTTTGCGAATACGGTTATTGCGTTATTTTTCCTTGTTGATTTTGGGTGTGGGCCGTCGTGCTTTTGACATATTTTTTGGTGTTTAGTTTGTATTACTGTATATTTGATTGCTGAGAAATTGTGAGGGCAAGAGTATAAATAAAAGTTCTAACTGCGAAAAGATCATATGAAATTTTGGATTTATCTTGTTCTGTTCTGTGCAGTGTCATACTACTTGACCATCACAAAACTGCACTTGAGATGTTAAGGGATGAAGCTTCAGTAGGTGGAAATGTAATTAAGGTGATAGATATGCAGAGGAGTGGGGCTACAATTGCTTATAATTATTTCAAGGAAAAGCTTTTAGGTGGGAATGTTAATGATGTTGTTGATGGCCGTGAATTTACACTAAGAACATTTGAAAGAGTAAGGCACTTATTTGAATACATTGAAGACGGAGATCTGTGGAGGTGGCATCTTGATGATAGTAAAGCTTTCAGTAGTGGTTTCAAAGATTTGAACATCGAATACAATGTCAGATTGAATCCATCCTTGTTTCAGCAGGTAATTTTGGTTTTGTTTTTTATAGTCACATGGATAATCCTGATCTTTTATAGCCATCCTCACACTAACACTTTGGAGGAGACATTTTTGTCTGGTGGAATTGATGGGGGATGTTTAGGAATTTGATGATTAGAATTTAGGGGTGAATATTATAGATTTCTTTTATTCCAAGAAAAATTAGGTTTTCTAAAGTAATTTTCCGTTTGAGGCTTCTTAGTCAATTTTTTTTCATGTATGGGTTGCCAATACAGATATAATATAGGTATATAAAGGTCTGTGTGATGGAGGACTTTATTTTTTGGCTAATGGAATGTTGCAAGATCCTCTCTTGTCTCTTATGTCGGTCTCTCTTCTTATTATTCACCCCTTCTTTCTTCTCTTTTCTCTTCTCCTCTTTTCCTCTTCTTCTTGTTTCTTACTCTGTTTCTTATGGTTCTGCATCACTTCAATTTGGGGCCATGCATGTTTTACATTATTGTTCCCCCAACCCATGCCCCGCCAACACACACAACCCCCACCGACTTGATGTTCCTGGTGACATTAGAGTAATTCGTTTTCCCCAGGGATCTAGATGAATCAAAGAAACATGTTAGAGAATATCTTACCATGTCGATGTTGATGCTATAAGAAACATACAATACTTTTTTACTAAGGCATATAACTGTCTTGTTTTATGTGCTTTTTGGTTGTTTTCTAATGCTTTTTTACTTAGAGGAGTGCGATAAATTTGTGCAGTTACTTTCCATGGATCTTGAGTCTCTCATAAGTCAAGGCAGGGTAAGCTTATTAAACAAGCAAAAATTAATAAATGAGGTTCTTGGGCAGTCATATGAAATTGCACTCGGTGGTGGAGCATTTGGACATTGCCTGGTAAGTTGCACATCTAATTTTTCATTTAATTCTGCCATGTAATTATGTGGCTGATTTGGCTATGTATTCTGTTTTTAGATTGTTTAATAATTGAGTTTCCAGTATTATCATGAAATCATTAAGACCTAAACTGGTGGTTGGTATATTTAGTTTTGTTGCTCTCATTAACTATTAAGCTTAGTTATTTCTAGAAATTGATCTGTCATGGTAAATGCGTAGGCTACATTTCACTACTTACGCATCCTGTTATGATAAGAGGGAAGAGAAGAATGATTAACGGATTAGAGAAGGTGAATTGTCACACCTCAACCCAGACGGAACCCTTCTAGGGGAGCAGACACCACCTGCACATCATATACTCACTGTTATGACCATGGCTGTGATATCCTCTATTAATTTAAGGCATTACGTGATTGTATATACAGTAGAATTCCTCCTAACCCTAATACGGTGTTAGGTTCCAAATAAAACTTAACCTATATAGACTCGGTAAACCCATGTCATAAACCAAATCCTATATCCTCTATTAATTTGAAGGCATTACGTGATTGTATATACAGTAGAATTCCTCCTAACCCTAATACAGTGTTAGGTTCCAAATAAAACTTAGGACTTAGACAAATAGAAACCTATATAGACTCGGTAAAGCCATGTTATAAACCAAATCTATATATTGAGAATATAGGACACATAGGTTGTTACTACGACCAATAATCTGCTGCATTTGAAATTCACACCATACTCTTGATTTTTCCACGCACAAGATAACCTGATAAAGCTGACCTGCAATACTCTAACCTAAAAATAAACAATCTCCACTAAATATCTAACCAAGTTATGACGTTGCCAGTGGGCTCCGTAACAAGATTGAGCCATAGCCCCAAAGTTTCTTCTTTGAATTTATTTTTCTTTGCACTTGTTATGGACTGCATCACTTGAGGTGCAGTTCCTTAAAGCTTTATTTTTTTTCTTGATTTTATATAAAAATAGCTTTTTTAGTCACTCCAAAACCTATATTCCTTTTCTTTGGGATTCTGCTGCATCATATGTGGTTTTCTGTTCTTCTTCTTGTTTGTTGCTACTGAGACTTCAGAAGCAATAGCTTGACTTGACACTCGCACATTTCTTCTCTAATTCGTTTTATTTACTGCTCGATGTAACACTGTTAACTGTTTAGAGCCATTGAACCGCCACTATACCATCCTCATTGTGGAGAGAGTCGTGTGTTCCATGATGAAAAATTAGAGCCACCCAAGGTTGTTTTATGGTTGAGGGACCTCTCCACCGATTACGAATTGATTTTGGGCTAGATGCCTCTAATGTGGTACTGGAGCTATGTTTTTGGTGGTTAGTGGGTCCAATCTTTGGTTCATTTGATTTCTCGATATGTTTGTCTGCTTGTCTCGGTACAGTTTTTTAGCCCACAAGTGAGGATGGGTCACAATTGAGGAAGATGGGTCACAAGTGAGGGAGGATGTGAATAATGTATGCCACATCGAAAGAGGGCCGCCCAATGTTGGATTATGTGAGTGTGGAGCCTCTCGACTCAATTGATTTTGGATTGGATGCTCGGACCTAAATCACATAGAGTGGGTGCGGGAGCACGAAAGCACAAAAATTCAAAAAATTTTGAGAGCAGGAACGTCTTTAGAGTGTGATATTATATATTTATATAATATAAAAAATATTGAAAATAGATTTTAAAAAGTTAAATTTTATATATAACTATATTATAAATGAGTAAAGCAAAAAACTTGGTCCCACAAAAAAAATAAAAAAAAGGAAATGTAAGACTGTAAAGAGAAACCTTTAGGAAAAAGGGAAGAGAAAGCCATTGAAATGTATTTGTTTCAATCCCACATCGACAAAGCATGGAAAGAATGAAGCTCCACATGCCAGTATAAAGCAGTACTCCTATGAGGTAGGTTATATCCTTTCAGTCTGCCGACCTTTTAAGTGAGGTGAGTATGGCTGACAACAGAGTATTGGAGTTATAAAATTTAATGATATAATTTTTTTATTTTAGTTTTTTACGGTTTGTGAATTTAATTGAATGAATTCGTGAATTTATGGCTGATTTGCTCTTAAATCGCGAATTCACGCATGGAGTTTGAGAACGTGGGTGTATTTAGGCGAATCGTGTGACTTAGGCTTGGACACTCATAACCCTACCATACTGAACTCTTATCAATCTTGATGCTTTGCTTTAGGCCTGTCAAAATGCGACATGACATGATTAACTGTCACGAATGGACATATTTAGGCGAATCGTGTGACTTAGGCTTGGACACTCATAACCCTACCATACCAAACTCTTATCAATCTTGATGCTTTGCTTTACGCCTGTCAAAATGCGACATGACATGATTAACTGACACGAATAGACACGGAGTTAAGCGGGTTTGAGTGAGGTCTTAATGGATGCGGGTGGTAAACAGGTGGACCCGCTAAACTCGTTTAATAAATAGGTCGTGTTCGGTTGAGATATATCAACCCGTTTAAATAAAATTAATATAATAATAAATTGATAATTATATATGCAATTTCATAATTAGATCAGTTAAAAAAAGTTTATTAATTATTTTTTTATTATAATAATAAAAAAAGTTAATTAGTGGTGTTGAATAACCCATTTAATGAACGAGTTGTATTCGGTTTGTAGATTTTCACCGGTTTAATTAAACAAATCGTGTACAGGTACGGGTTGAATGGTTTTTTTCGCATGAACCCGATTCTACTTGACACGAATCCGTTTAACCCAACATGGTTGACCCATACTTTGCTTTTTGGCTTTACCCTTTCCCTCTGATATAACACTAAAACCTTAGAGTACCTCTTTTCTAATTTTTGTAATAGGTAGCTTTTAAACTTCCCGCCAGCAAATCTTTGAAATTCGAGCAATCTAACACTTTTGATATTCGAGCAATCTAAAAATAAGAAAATGACTTTATAATGTGTTTTTTTGGTCAGTATGACTTTCTAATTCTGTTTGCATTCTTATAGGCTGTTAATGCGGATTCTATTTTGGAGCTGAGGAGTGAGCTTGGACACCAGTTAGCCAATAGAAGCCATAAAATGAAAATGAGGTTTGTTCTAAGCTCATAAAAATGTGAGACATCTGGGACTGTTTTATATGTATATGGATATGTATTTTTTTTTGTGTGTATACAATATATTACATATATATGTTATGTGGATATGCCCGTATACATATATTGTTTATCTTAAACCCATATTGTTTATCTGCTATCGCAAAATTGTTCGGCATCTTGGATTTGTTGTGTGTGTATAGGATTTATATTTTTTGCTTTGTTTTGGTTAGTTCTCTCTTCTTCAACCTTTTGGAGTAGTCATCATACTTTTCTGTCATGCATTGCATTCTAAATATGAATTATCTGGAATATGCATGGTTTTCTGATAGAGTTTGTTGTAATTACAGAAAGAAAGGGCATTCTCAGCCAAATAGATAACCAAAAGTAGACCACTCACACATAGGGTGCTTATGAAGTGCTTAAGAAATGTGATATATTTAGGGATAGTGTGTTTATGGTGTGTTTAGTTTGTATCTATCGCCATATTTTGTTAGGGGTAATTCTGTATTTTTTGTAGCTATTTTTCATTATGATGGAATATTTGGGATTAATAGGAAGATTTATTTTCTATCTTTCTCTTCTTTGTATGTCTTCCCTTCAAGGACTTAGCTGAGGGCTGAATAAATCTAAGGGTTCAAAAAACTTACGTTTCTTTTTAATTTGTTTTTGTTTACCATTAACTTATAAAGTTAGTTTTGTTTAAATATCCAAGTGTTTGCCATCAGATCTTGATGGACTGGCACCAAATTATACTACAGGACAGCTGAATTTCAGGTGTCTAATTTTGGGGATGCTTCGTTCATATTCAATTTGGTGAAGACGGGGTACCAATAGGGGGTTATACAGTGTAGGAATTTGACACTTGTTACCAAAAGGAAAAATGCGTAATTGTGCATGTGTTGGGGATTGAACTCGTAGCATTAGGTGTTCAAGCATGGATACTTTGATTATTTTGTAGTGGTTATCCAGAAATTAATCTGAAAGGCCAATTAGCATCTGAATTCACGTATCAAACAGGTCCAGTAAATCAATTTAAGTTTTATGATACTGCCACAGTTTTATGATCTCATTTCCAACCATTGAATTTCTTGCATAAAAAATTTCCATCAGTTCAACTTCTTTGGTTAATAGGATTATTGTAAATTTTAAGAATGCCATAGCAACCAAGTAGCAGGTTGCATCTATTTTCTTCTATGAGGGGAATTTTTATGCTTTTGTTTTGGATGTTACATCCATACAAATATACTGCTTATAGATGATATTATTGAGATTTGAAACGAAGGTTTATTACTAATACAGATGATTCTCATCTATTCATCTCCTGTGTACCCTCTTGGATTCAAGTTAAATTCTTAATAGGTGCGCATGGACATCTGTTTGCTGCACTATAAGTATTCAAGTGTCAAACCCTTGACTTGTTTTGATTATTGCAGTAAATTAGGCACTGGGTAGATCATCTACTGCATTGCTGTTTCTTTTATTCTTCCTTATTATTCTTGGTGGATATTCCTAGGGGCATAGGAGCTATTGTATATAGAGTCCCTGAGCTTGAAAATGATCAATTATTGAAAATAAGCCTTAGGAGTATCAACTGCGAAGACACAACGTCCATCTCACAGGTGGTTTTTATTTTCTCTTTTGCTTGTGACGTCTTCGCCTGCCCATTAGCTATGAGCTATAAAAAGTTTTGTGATCCCTTACAGGAATTTGGAGGTGGTGGGCATCGAAATGCCAGTTCATTCATGTTAAGCTCTGCAGAGTTTGAGAGGTGGAAGGTTTTTGCTATTGATTAACTTCTGGCCAAATTTTAATCCATTCGGCTCAAACCGTATACAAGGAACACTAGGATCTGGTCAGAGTTGGCTAACCGGCGGCATCACTTTCTGGTTACTTTTGTTGCCAGTGAAGTTTCACCGACTTGTGGGTTGTCGTCAAGAGAACGATAGATTACTCCATTGTGGCTCAGGAGTTGACTAGATCCAACACATTGGCGCTTTTGCACATTCAACATTTGCTATTATGGTGCCAGCGCAGTGCCAGTTGCTTCTTGCTTTTCTGATATTCCGGATAGGTATTGAAAATGGGATTTGGATTGTTACATTAAATGTAAAGGTTAGAACCTTAGCTATATCTTTCCAGTGATCAAATTGTTCCATTTGAAGTCGCTTAGTTATTTGTGACAACAGTAGGGGGCATGATTTTACCTCATTGGTTAAAATGTTGAACAACGGCTAGTGAGTGAGGGGTAACAGAGTGTCGTCACCGTACTCTTACCTGGGTAAGTAGTGTAACTAGGGAGTCCATGGGCCGGGCTGGGTTAAGCCCATGAATTTTGTTGGGTTGGACTTGGGATAAGATAGAGCTTTGGATAGGGATAAGTCATCCGTTATTTAACTCGTCACTCATTGGACATGGGTCAATTGGATTGACCTTTTTTTATATATACATCTTCATTTAAAAAAATTTTAACTTAATATTTTTGAATTAAAAATAGAGTCAAAATGGAAAAAAAAAATAATAAATAATTTTATTTGAGAGGAATTATTTAGTATTTTAAGTAAATAATGAATAATGAATAATACTCTAGATTATTCAACTTAGTATTTAAGTGAGTAACTTTTTTTTAGAAGAATATACCACTTAATAAAGTGGGCTAGGTTGGGCAAGTAGGTTTTTGGGCTGGGTTTTTTTGGGTGGGCTAAATGGCTAGGTTTAGACTGGATAATGGGCTGGGGGTAGGTTTAAGGCTTTGAGCCATCTCTTAAAGGATAATAGACTCGAGTTTGGATGGGTCAATTATCAGGTTTCCGACAGGGTAACAGGTCCCGTGAATCAACCCGACCTATGGACATCCTATGTGTAACCATGTATACATACAAAGAGTAATGTTTCAGTCCATCTGAGGCTAGTTAATATTTATTCCAGACCGGTTTGGCCTATTTCAGACCTCTTCAAGTTCATCCAGAGCCGGTTTAGGATCCTTATGCCTAGATTAGTTGTATTTCTTTTTTATTGTAACCTGTTTCAGAGTATAAGGGGTACTACTAATGTGGATCCTTCTCCTGTACTTTCTTCTGCTTGGTTCTGGCATTACGGAAGAAAACAAGTTCAATTCCAGTGTTGTAGGGTTTGTGGTGAGTCAGAATTTTACTAGTTTATCTATTACCTCTATTAAGTTGAATGACAGTAACTACGTGCCATTGTCTCGTTTTGTTGAAGTGTTTTTGACTGCAAAAAATAAAGTTGAATATCTTATAAAAGATAAACCTAGTGAATCTGATTCGAAGGTTAAACAGTAGAAAATAGATAATGCACAAGCGGTGACTTTGTCATGGAATAATATGGAACCTCGAATTAGTATTTATTTCATGTCTCTTGAAGCTGCCAAGGAGATATCACTTGTTGTTAATCGTTTGTTTTCAGGCGAGGATTTATCAATTATTTCAAGATTTGTTCAATTTGGAGAAAGGTGATAAAAACATTGAAGAATATTATCTTGCCCTGCAAGATATTAAGAATAATATCAATTCTTATTAGTCATTCTCTATTGATTTAGAAGTCCAGAAAAAACAACTTGAGGAAATAATGATTGTTTGCTTCATCTCAGATTTAAAATCAAAATAATAACCCATCTGTGCTCATATTTTGGCTAGTAAGCAAATTCTTTCAATTTCAAATTTTTTTTTCTCATATTCAACTGGTTTCCTTTAACGATAGTGGTGTTTCTGTACCTGACCGCTCGGCCTTAGTCATATTGCCTAGGGAATAACAAATTTTCTTGTGGGGGAAGAAGAAATTGCGATGGTTAGAGAGGACGTGGTCGTTGACCAATGGACAACCACAGTGGTAGAGGTCGCTGATCTATAAAATTTTGCGTTCATTGTGAACTTAAAGGTCATGCAATAGGTTATTGTTGGGATTTACATTAAAATCTTCATCTTATGCTTAAGCTGTGTCTTTATAAGATGATTTGGGTTTCAGGCAGTCTGCTATAGGTGAGCCTACATCCACATCAGAGGTTGTATCTATCTTACTCGTCTTGTTTCTAAGTTTGGTGCTCCTACTTTTACTTCAAATTCTACAGCTACTTTGACCCAGTCATGTTTGATGTCCTATTCGTCTACCTCTCCATGGGTCATTGACTTTGGAGCCTCTGATCATATGGCAGCTAATGTGAGCGCATTTCAAGCTTTAATCATATTTCAACTAGCCAACATGTCCCCTTAGCTGATGGATGTCACCTTAGTTAGCTGAAGGATGTTCGACTTCGACCTCAATCTCTGGTGTTGGCACTGTGAACCCTATCCTCCCCACAAGCTATTGCCAGGTTGATCAAACCACACTCACCAACATGTCGTTGGCACCATCTCTTGCTCCAAAAGCAAGCCGGGCACCAACTAGACTTGAAACACAGCCTGCACGCACAGTAGGCTGAAGGAAGCAGGTTGCCAATATGACGGGACCAAGACATCGTCCTACCCTTGCCAACTATTTGATGACAAGGAAACCTTAAGGTCTCAATGATGTCATGCTTATTGTCTCAAAGGCAAGAGTCTTTGGGAATTTAAAGCCTCTCAAACCAGCTCGGGGAACCGGATTAAGCTGCTCAAGGTAAGGGATATCATAAGTTTTCTTCTCAGAACTATGAATTGATGCATGCTTGGTCCAAATTCCCTCATAGTTGTTTGGAGTCATGTAACATAGTTATGATGTCTTGGATCATTTCGAAAAGAAAAAGCCTTACTCAAAACAAAGAAAAAGTCGGGTAGAGGTCCTTTCAAGGAAATAGAATTCTTTTTCTTAACCAAAGGATACCGAAAGAAAGACAATAAGACTTACGCTTGGAGCACCATCTACACTTGGTTTGCTTTCTTGGGGTGCTCCTAATATTTTGAATACCTTGATATATTCCGAAACATAAATGAATGAAAACAATTTACTTTCCGAAAAAAAAAGTCTAGCATAAATTGAAGGGAAAAACCCACATACATGCCTTTTATTCAACAAATAACACCATGTACCCCCAACAAAGAGGTCCAAAACCCACATCTGTAGAGCCCTATGATAAATCGGCTTTACAGATATTCCCAACCACATCAATGAGACTAGAAACCACCATTGATACTCCCAAACAGGAGCTCAGGAATCCACTTCTCTTTTGAAAAACAGCGAGAGAAGAAATTAAATACAATTAACGATAATCAAGTATAGAACATAGAAATTTTCAGAAAATTCTCGTAAAGGTATATGTCTTATTAAGTAAAACATATATTCGAATCACACATTATTGAGCACCCATCCAATTTATGTTTAATTCATGAATGCCCCTTGAGAGACCTCTTCACCACCGGTGGGAGCGTTGGAAGAACACCATGCATCATCTGTGATGAATTGCATCCATGAATCATCTTTATCTTCTTCCTCCATGCATGAGGATGAGGCTCCTAAAGGAACGTCCGGCGACATTGTCTCGTATTCGTTTATGACACCTTGTGAATATTCAAGCAGTGATATGCTAGGTTGCCCTTGCTCTTCTATTTCAGAACACCCTCCATTTTTCTTGAACACACGACACAATGCATATGTGTCCTGCTAGCAAATGTCATACACAGTGTTAGTTCATTGTGCTATTCAAATCATCCTTTGGGTTCAGTTGAACTTATTCAGAGAGAGAGAGAGAGAGAGAGAGAGAGAGAGAGAGAGAGAGATCTTATCAATGATAAGAAGAAAAGTTCGAGGCTGAATCTTAAAAAATCAGGTGTTGCAAGCAGTCAATAATTGGGGTTGCCAGATTTAGAAACTACGTACTTGATGCTTCTTAAACATAAAGAATAAGAAAGAGAAAGATCATATTTCTCTTCTAGGGACATTAAGAATACAATGAAGTCTTGCTTTCACTCTCTTACCTCAGCTCATGGAAAAAAAAAAAAACAACTTCAACCCTACCAAGGAATGCACCATCTTTTGGGTTTAGTTGAACTTATTCACAGAAGGGGATTTGTTTCTTTCTTACTCACTCACACACACACACACACACACACACACACACACACAGAGTAAAGGTATCTTATCAATGATAAGAGGAAAAGTTTGAGGGTGAATCTTAAAAAATCAGGTGTTGCAAGCAGTCAGTAATTGGGGCTGCTAGATTTAGAGCCTACGTAGGTTGGTGTTCCTTCAACATATAAAGAATAATAAAGATAAAGATCATATTTCTATTCTAAGGACATTAAGAATACAATGAAGTCGTGCTTTCACTCTATCACCTCAGCTCATAGGGGGAAAAAAAAAACACACAACTGCAACCCTACCAAGGAATGCATTCGAATCATGGTATTCATTACCTAGATGATGTAAAACTATCCATTTCTGTTTAGCGTTTTTTTATTTTTCATTGTTCTTATAATAATAATAATAAAAAAAACTCCATAGGAAACAAAAAATGCATGGACACTATATTAACATAATAGTTAGAAAGATCATGCTGGACCCGGGCACAAGAATAACAATAATAAGAAATAATGGAGCCTTCTTAAGTATGCTCACGTCCTAGTCCAAACAATAGGGTATTAAACTCAGGCCGGATATCAACCCGACAAAAGGGCTAGAGCAATTGGTCTATGATTCGACTACTTGGTCAAATGGTCGTACCACCCGTGCTATAAAAAATAAAAGTTATAAAAAATTCATTTTATGGTAAGTGGATCAACTAAAAACACAGAAAATTTTATATATCTTCATAATGTGTTCAAAACATTTATAAAGGTAAACTTTGAAACCTCCACCCGGTCAATGGGTCACTCCACTATGTGAATGAGTTATTGGTTCAATCATTCATTCTTCTGAAATATTTTTGGAGGATTGGTTGTGAAAACGGTTTACATGTTAACCTAATTTGGTCGAGTAATGTTACATTAACCAAATTTTGAGACTAAATTTAAAGCACAAATGATATGACAATTAATTATTTGAAACTTTTATTGGGGATCAAATGACATGACACCAATCAAAGAAGCCTAAATTAACTGCCATGTTATTTGGGCTTCAAATTTGCTCCCAAAATTTGGTCAGTGTAGCATTACTGAATTTGGTCTTAGCACCAAAGATTTACTAAGTTGACATGTTATGCTGGGCTGGCCTGAGTTTAGTAACACACTGTGTTTGTTTGGGGAATTGATATTCATAGGATTGACAATGCTATAGTAATCTTATTTAGGGATGTTATTTATGGATTTAATGATGTGACTTCAATGCAATTATTAGATTAATTGTGAGTTTTAATGTTAAATGAAACCCATAATCAATCTAATGGTTATACATTATTAGATTCTTAAATAAGGTCCCCAAATAAAGTTCAAATAGTATTTTCCTTATATAATTCAATACACTTCCAATACTTAAGGAAGTTAATACCGGTAATAAAAATGAATGTAATCTTATCTTATGTTTATTTGAACAATATGTTTTCTTATAGGACCTACCAAAAAACATCTAATCTTTCACATCGCATATATCAAATAGATATATTTACCCCTAATATCATCCATTCCTTTCCTTGGGAATGGAAAGTATAGTAATTACGCTGCCTTATACCGTTGATGCCTTTTCTACCGCCTTTTAATACTACCTCCCAGATGGTATTAGATATACCCATGTAGATGGGTTTAGCGCCACTGTTGATATCGAGTCGATATTAACATCTGAAAATTAGCATTTTGCTAAGAATAACTAACAAATGAAATAAATATAGAACCCATATACTAATAAACACTATCCTAGATCCTTATACCCCACTTCTCCCCCAAACAAACACCATATACAGTATAGCTATGAAATGTGATTGTCATTGGCTTATTCTGCCATAGGGAATAAAGTGAAAGTAGCCGACACCTTCTTACATCATGAAAGTGAAGAGGGTCTTGCTTTTAGGTTTAGATACAAATAAATCTAACTGATTGAAGAATCTACAGCTCTAGATCATCGATCAGAGCATATGATCAAAGTAATTTAACACAAACAGGTGATAGGGTTCATAACAGATTCAGTGATATGGGGGGATAGTACTTTTGTCTCACTTGAGAAAGACAAAGTGAAACCAAGCTTTTGTCACTCAAGAGATCTAAGACCAGTGCAAGAAACGAATATGTCACTCACTTGTTTATGATCATAAGAGTATAATAATATAATATAATTTTCTATAACAAAGAAAGATAAAGTAGAACTAGTAAGAGAATGACAAAGGCCCTCACTTTCCATGCATGCCATGCACTTCCCACGTTCCCTTCTTTCACAATTCATCTGTGCTCAGAGGGTTTCAACTAAAATATTCAATAAAATGTGACATTACGTCATTACTGATATTTGTTTGTATGAATAAAATATAAACTATCAAATAAGTCTAGTGAACCTCCTTAATCTCATGTTTATTATATTAGAGGTTTCTAAAGTATAAAATTTGTCTTATTTGATCTCTAATATTTTAATTATATTATTTTAGTTCATGAAATATTGAATATATTTCTTTATGGTCCATCAAGCATAAAACATTCAAATTACTAATAATTTTTTTATTATAAACTTATCGCATGATACTTAAATATGGATAAAAAATAATTTAAGTAGTTCTTGACCAACAATGTGTAATATGAGTAGCTCTTAAGCAGAATTAGCTCATGATCAAAATTGTGTAATTTAGGTATCTCTTTGACCAAAATTTGAATAAAAATTTAGTCAAGAGTTACCCAAATTATTTTTTTACCATATTTAGGTATCATGTAACATGTTTATAATAAAAAATTATTAACAATCTGGACGTTGTTTACTTGAGAGACCACATAAAAAAAATATTTCATATTTTAAGGATTAAAATGAGACAAAATCCATACTTCAAGGACTTCCGGTACACTTAACCCTATATAATTATATTGAATATAGTGGATATTAGAATAATGAGATTCACTAGATTTGTTTGGTAATTTATAATTAATTGATAATATCATGAGTCAATTAATGACTAAATATCACTATTGCATCAAATATTTACTCGAGTTTCGAGGTAATTTTTCTTAAATTTCTGGCCAGTAAGGATAATTTTGCAGCAAGCTAACGTGGACCATCCTTTAAAGCTTATATCAGCCTGCTTTCTATCCTTACTTTGAGTGTAAAACAGGATGTAAAAGATTGAAGCAAATGCTTTTCCTCCTTATCACTGCCTGGAACTTCATGCTTTTTGATCAAATATTGACATACAAAGGAACAAGAATGACCTACCAAGATTTTCCCTTGTAGAAAAGTTCGAAACAGAAAAAAAAAAAAAAAAAGAACACCATCACAGACAAAAATTCAAAAAATGATATCTGTGCCGACAATAAAACTAAACAATGACCAATTTCAGACGTGTGCATATAGAAAATAAGAAACGGTTACGATGTCATTGGAAGTGGTTGGTTGGAATTGGGTCGATAAAATGTTTTATTTTGACCTAAAAAATATAGGCTATAAGGAATGAAACATTATTGATGATTGAAGAAATGAACCTAAGAGAATAGTGTTATTGTGTCTTAAATGAAATAAACAGACTATAATCAGCGGTGTTCTACGAGGATCCGATTGTATATTAACTGATTGTATCACAGCAATCTGAGTTCATGGATATTTAGGATAATCCCAAGACTGTTTGGACAAAAATGCAAGGAGAGAAAGTTTTATGTAGATGGCCAAAATAACTAAACTTTTGTTTTTGTCACAGGAGAAACAAGAAGATTAATTGAAAGAATCCCAATTCAGTAAGCACTCTATGGTGATGGTGAGAATAATCATGATATTTATGATTATGTGAAGCATGGAGAAAACCCAGCTATGATGAGTTCTATGATCCAAAGAATTGGAAGAAAATTATTTTTGCTTGAGAGTTGAGTCGAATTGAGTTGAATTAGATCTTATCGTATGTAAAAACAACAATATCTAGGTCAGTGTATGGGGTCGGTATGTTGTTTACTTTTCATATTCATATTATCATAAGTTCATAAACAATCGTTATTTTCACCATAAAACCTACCTGAATCCCAGGATTGTCCTCACACTCCTTATCATCGAGGCGATATTCATGCATAACCCAGTCAGTTCTGATTCCTTGAGGAGCTCGGCCCCTGTAGTAAACCAATGTCTTCTTCATTCCAATTGCTCGATTCTGAGATGAAACCCTCCGATCTTTCCCTGTGGACTTCCAGTATCCTGCTCTGGTTGCTCTATTTGTTCTAAATCCATTCGGATATTTCCTGTCCCTCGGTCCAAAAAAGTACCACTCTGGGTCTCTACTGGGCAAAAACGATTTCTCTGCAAAACTCATGATCATTAACAAATAAACCAGATAGAGATACAAACACCCACATGTATTTAGGTATATTATATATACACAGAGAGAGAGAGAGCTTTGACAAGTATGTCCATGGGCCACTTGCAACGCACTATATAGAAAAGGAAGACAGAGCTGCGGGGGAAGAGAGGTGGAAGAGGAAGACGAAGAAGAAGGAGAGAGAAGAGACCTGCTAATTCCCAAGGCTCACATTTGTAGAGATCAACTTCAGGAATGATGTCAAGTTCAATCTCTTGACCATGAATCTTCCTCTTGAGATAATAATTCACAAGCTCTTCGTCAGTGGGATGAAACCTAAAACCTGGAGGCAATCCCACTGGTGCCATCTCTCTCCCTGCCCTACCTCCTTCACCCTCTCCTGTGAGTTCTTTTGCTTTACCAAATGTCTCAAGGGCATAAGCAATCATATATATGTATATGTGTCTGAAAGGATTCAAAGTATCTTGTCTTTGGGTCATTTTGCGCTTTGTCTCTTTTTTAGATTCTTGGACAAACGTTTCTTGCAAGCCCTCGTTTGTATATGACACTTGTGCTTCAAGTTCTACAATTTCACTACTGAGATATGATTATATGATTAATGATTTACTTCCTGAAATAATGGACATAACTCGAGAAAATGTGCGACTGTATTTTGGTGAATAAAAATTGGAGCATAGGAAAATATGGTTGCCCTCTTTGGTCAAGATTATGGTGTCTTCCTTCTTTTTTTTTTCCAGCAAAGTAAAGTTTTTTTTTGTTTTTTGGTTTTTGGGTAAATAACCAAGAAGATATATTGAGGATATAAATGTATATAACAACACAATCCCAAAGAGAAACAGAACAAAACAGAGACACAAGGACAAGACTGCAACAACCTACAACCAGTCCAACAAAAGCAGGAAGAGGAAGTCTGGGGGGGTTGCATTTTGCACTCCCCACAGATTACAAAGCCAATAAACAACAAACCGAATTTACATCAAGTGCAAAACAAGAGTCTGGAAGTTGCCAAGAAGAAGCGGCCTGTCTATGAAGATGGGTGTCATTGATTTTGATTGAAAGAAACCTACTTCTCACCATATTCAAAATCATCATCTGGGTAGTACCTGGATCATTGTGCTCATTGGTGAAAATTCTATGATTTCTTTCTCCCCAAATTATATAAATAGTGACAGCAAGGCATAATTTCCTAATGAAATTCTGAAGATGTTTGCCTTTCCATTGGGTGGACATAGCCTGAATGAGACTTTGCCAAGAAGAAGATTGCCATGACCAATCACATTTACTGATGACATTCCTCCAAACTCTTTCTGAGTATGAGCATTCAAAAAAAAAGATGGGAGTGAGATTCTTGATCAGCTCTGCAAAGTACACAAGTAGTTTCAATGTTGGGTGAAAAACTATGGATTCTGTCCTTTGTGACCAGTCTACACCTTATAGCAAGCCAAAGGATAAAACTGGCCCGAGGAATGCAAAGATTGAACCAAAGGAGATGGTACCGCAACACCTCTGGTTTCTTGCTCCTAATTTGATTCCAAGCTGAAGAGGTAGAAAACTTGCCATTGACCTGGGGAAGCCATTTGATCTCATCCTTTTTCTCAATTGTAGGGGAGTAATTGGGCATAGAAGATATGATCTCATCAATGATCTCACCAGCAAAGTAAAGTTGTTTGGACATAAAATATTAAATCTCCGGAATATTTAGTATATCAACCCCTTTCATCTCATATGCATTGAAGGGATGCCATGTAGTAGGATCTAAAAAAAGGAGGGAAATGATTAACTATAACCATATCTAAAAAGAGAGAAATAACTAATTGAAAGTTATCAGTTAGTAACGGTCAAACAAAAGCAAAAACGTCGAAGTTAATGGCTATAAAAGTGCACTTAGTGGAGAGAATGGAGATACACTCAAACCCTAAAAAGACCTACGATCTGAGCATTATTAGGAGTAATTTTAGATTAGTTTTAGGAGTCACTTAGTGCATTGCACTTAAGGCTATTTATTCACTCTTTCTATAACTGAAGTCTTTTTGATTGAATTAATAAATAAATCTTCTTTTATTAGTTCTTTGCATAGTGTGATTGTTCATTATTTTTTCATCAAAGAAAGTCTTGAAATAAGACATTTGAACCCTTTACAAATAGTTGTTTAAAAATTGTCTATTGATTAGGATATCTCTATGGAGCAACAATCTTTTAGCATGCCCGGTGAGATAACATTACTAAATTGAATCAAAAAATAGTTTGAACAAGAAAATAAGATAAGATTGTTTTTGGCATAAATGAAACTATGGAAACAACACTAAATAGTGGCAAACGTGAAGCAAGTTCAAGTACCAATCCAATGGAATATGAAAATCCGAAAATGGCCAATCTAGTGGTCAGGATAGTGTGCATATGCAAGTGTTTGTGCAAAACCTAAAACATGAACTACATAATCCTAATTCTGACATTAGACAAGATTTTGTTTGTGTCATTCATGAATTAATGAATGTACATACATCTATGTTAGCACCAGTTAATCAAAAAACAACCACTATCGTTATAAATCAAATGGTGGAAGAAGGAAATACCAATCTCGTGGTGCTTTTTATGGAAAATTAGAGGCTACTACCAATGGTAAACAATGAAAGACTAGGCCCACCACACTAAAATCACTTTAATATGGTGTTCAATAGAGAACTTATTCCCTAATTTCTTCTCCGGAAGGAATCCCAGAGGCAAAAATGGGCCAAGGATGGTCCCTAGATTCCCTAGAAGGGGACGTGATAGGCAAGCTATGCCTCCATGTAGAGGAATTTAACCCAAGGCCAATAACCTGACTTTTAATAGAAACTAGTTGGTAAAAATTATTCAAGATCTGTATGGTCCTGGCCTTAGAAAAATTGAAAGTTTTGTGTTTAGGAAATCATATTCACCATTGGTTGATTTTGAAGAATTCACAAGGGGATATAAAATCCTAGAATTTCACCTTTATTTTGGTGAAAAAAATAATCAATCACAGAACACATAGATAGATTCACTTTCTAGTGTGGGGAAGTTGGGAATAATGACAATTTAAAATGAAACTATTCCCACAATCTTTGACTAAAGCAACATTTGTTTGGTTCATTAATTTGTCTGCCTATTAAATTCAAACTTGGCAACAAATGAAAGAGCAATTTCATGCTCAATTTTTTAGGAATAAACTAGAACTTTCAATGCTTGATCCATCAAGTTTAAGGCAAAAATCAAATGAATATATAGAGTAGTATATTAACAGATTCAAAAAAGGAGGAAACAAATGTCATATTTACTTACTTGAGATTGAATTGGTTAAATTAGCTCAGAAAGGTTTGAACTTCAAATTAAGAAAGAAATTCAAAGGAATAGAGGTCAGCGATATCTTTGAACTCTCGACTAGGGCTACCAGATATAACATGTTGCTTAGAGAAAAATAGTTCGCTTGAGACTTATTTTTAATACTTCGATGGAGAAGTTGAAATTAATGTAGCACAGATCATAGGGAAGTTACAAATCATGGGTGATGTCTTGAAAAACATTGAGGATCCTGTGAACATGTTATCTAGTCATCCTTTTAAAAAGGATGCACCCTCAACTTATCAACAATATTTCTTTAATCAATCAATGATTGATAGTTTGTTTGATGAATTAATCAACCAGAAATTTATTGTCTTGTCTCAAGGACATATTATCCCACCAGAAAAAGATAGAAAGAGAAAACAATTCTGCAAGTGACATAACTCTTTTAGGCATTCAATTAAGAACTACATTACTTTTACAAATTATGTGTAGGATTTAATCCAAAAAGAAATACTTAAGTAACCAAAAGAAGAAGAAACCATGGGTGTGGACAAAGATCATTTCCCTAAAGAAGTTAATATTAATATGATGTCTACTAATTTGCACGAAGACAAGAAGATTGCCAATTTGGTAGTTAGCAATGAGATGATTGTCCCCAAGATGAGAAAGCTAGTCCACAACAGGCTTGGTCCCAAGAGGAAAAGCCACTGGTTATGTGCTTTAAATATACCAAAGAAATGGTCAAGTCAGATGCTATACTACTGGATTATGTGGTGAGAGAATTTACAGATAATTGTCTCCAATTTAGTACCAAAGGAGAATGAGATGTTTGAATCTATAATGGAATTGAGCAAAAGGAAAAGAGAAAGTGAAAGAAGATAAAAACATGCTCTTAGATGAGGAGCTTATGAATTTTGAAGATATAGTCTCTCCTCAGAGATGATGCAACATGTAACATGATTGTGGTTCTGCCTAAAACCTTTAAGGCTAAACTAAGACAACCAAATCCACTACTGGGAGATGTGGAAGACAACATTGAGTTAGTGGTAGTCTTTACAGTGGTTGTGAATGAACCTAGACCACATGGAAGGTCTATAAGTGTAGAACAATGAGCCTGAGGGATAGATAGAATGGTGTTGCATTTCTCTATGAAAGAATTGGTCAAACAGTTAGCAAAGATAGAGTGGTGTTGCATGGCCATATCGATGGTATGCCAGTTAGCAAAACTTTGGTTGATAATGGGGTAGTGGTCAACATCCTACCCTCTATGATGTTAAAAGTATTGAATAAAGGAAATGAAGACTTGTTTCACACTGACATAACAATTAGTAATTTTACTGGAGGGTCATCCTTTGCAAGGGGAACATTGTATGTAAAAATCCAAGTAGGTCATAGGAAGACCACAACAATATTTTTGTGGTAGATTCATCATCCAATTTCAATGTTGTTCTAGGAAGAGATTGGATACACACCAATGATTGTGTGTCATCATCCCTACATCAATCATTAATCTTCTTGACAATTAGAGATGCTGAATAAAAAAAAGGGATGAAAGGGCATTGGGCTGATTTCAATCCATTCTCTATAGATACACACAATGTGGAAGCCCAGTTCTATTATAAAGACTTGACTTCAATTGAACAAAGCAACTGCAAAAGCTAATTCAACAAATATGTTGAAGGAAGTCTAAATTAGATCTGCCATGACTTGGCCAGATCTAGTTTCTTACAACCAAGGCTGGAAAGTGAAGAGTGCAAAGAAATTGATGAACAGAACCTACAAGAGGTTCTGGAATAGGAAGATATTACCATTAAAAGCCACAACGACAAGCTTTTTTTACATATATCTTGGAAGAAAAAGTGAAGTCATTAGGAGATGTCTTTATCAATTAGGCTGAATGTGTGTTAGAAAGTGGTCCTGAAAGCGTAAACCAGAACATAAGGATACGCCAAAAAATTGTCAGGAAAATATGGATTTCAAATGGGAGGATTTATACTAGAAGGCTCTTGGAGAAGTCAAGGAATACTTGGTCAAGCCTTTAGTATGGATACCACTAAAAGAAGGTAAGTCATTG